TTCGTTCTTTCTTTCGTTCGAGGGGCAAAGAACCAGGAGCCACTGAAAGCAAGAACTTGTAGGAAATCCGTAAGGGGCGAGCCAAACCAGGGTAGAGCCAACCCTTTGAATAAAAAAAACCACGGCCCCCTCTACTACACTCACCCCAAAAGGACACAAATGCACAAGCTCACCATATTCAACATACACAAGAGATGTCACAGTGATACCCCCACTTGAGGTGGCAGGGTTGCCAAAATACTTACGCCTAAGTCCTCAAAACATTGCTGCCCAAATCCCCTAGCACAGGCACTCCGAAGCCCTTAAAACTAGAATGGCTTAGAGACCCCCGAAGAAGACAGACCCAAAGAAGGACTCCCGTAGAAAGGACATTCCGAGGGAAACGTTTTCCCCAACCCCTAAACCCCAAATCGTAAACCCTCATTCCTGGACCCTATAATCCCTAAACCCTAAAGCTTAAGTAGAGCTTATCCCACTGGCCTTGGTGCACCTCCAGATATCTGAGATGCTGTCCTGCCCGGCAGCAATCGCGGCCGGCAGGCTTGCTGGTTGCTAGTAGGTAGGTTTCAGGGTTTAGGGTTGCTTGGAGGGAATGGAGGAATGGAAAGAAATGGCAGTTGGTGGGGTCTTGGGGTTGGGGTTTTGGAGTTAAGGTTCAGGGAATGGGAAAGGGAATGGGAAATAGTAAGCATGTCATTGGGGAGAATAGGCTAGATGGATCCTTCCTCCATTACCTAGTGACAGCCAGGAAGCAGGGCCGGAACACGCGCTGTGAAAACAGGAGGACAATGGTTTGGATATTGCCCCCGCACCCTATAACAGTCCCCATTGGGATCGTATATACGACTGTTCACAAAATACTCTACTCAGCAACAATCTGCGGCCTGCTTCCAACTACTATTTGCAAGAATCGAACCACGAAGAACGCAGGGAGAGATCGCTCCATCATTCCTGTGGCTTGCTCAGTGGCGGTCTGGTTTGGACGTATGGTCACGTCTTGCTGAAGTCGGGGGACCGTGAAGACATGCGCAGAGCCCAGTCCCTTTGGGACTATTCGCTGATCAAACGCACATGTCCCACAGGGAAAAACGCGTGTGCCTAACGAAGGCTGTTAAGGCACAAGACGCAGCTCTTACCGCCCCGGCGTCTCACGCTTCAGCCTCCTCAGCCTCAGGTGACTGCAAGAGGCCAGGCTTAGTCTCATTGAGGGCACTCATGATCGAATCCTTGTAGCGTATGGACTTCTTCCCATGGCCACTGCAAGAAGCACATCCGCTATCGACGAGGCCAATCTTCATCTCCAGCCCCGGCGCGAACCTAGCCGTGACTTCAAAGGGCTTGGTGACCCCCTGCTTGACTGTGTAGATCGCGTTGGTCTCCACCCAGACATACTTCTCGAATGTTCCCCACACCAACTCCAGGGTATCTATGTCCGTTTGGACCACCATGGTGCTTGCTTGGGACTGCCACCCGGCAAAGAGGACCTCCTCAACCACCTCTTTTTCATGGAACCTGTACTCGAAGGGCATGTTCATGAAGACCCAAATGGGGTAGGCAATGCAGGCCAAGACAAGGCCGCCCATGTTGACAAAGTCGTCAACTGTGACCAGGGGAAACTCAACCGGCGAGAACACGTTGACGAAGTCACACAAGTCCAGGTTAGGCTTCATCTCATGTGTGCACTTGCCCCTGCCTGTGGCCATCCCCCACGCAAAAAGGTTCATCAGGACCATGAAGCAGTAGCAGCAAATAGCAACCATCCCCACAATGAAGAGGGCCTCTGTGTAAAGGTCACATGAAATGGGCTTGCGAGCAGTCTTAAGCTCACCTGCTTGCCCTCGGCGCGCTGCCAGTATGCCTCCCAGGCGGCCCTCTAGAAGGCTGGAAGGACCCGCGGAGGGTGGAGAGGGACTCCTGGGTGGCTGTTAAGGAACTTAAGTTAAGTTACTATATTATGGGTAAAGCCAATTATTTACTACATATACCCAGTATGGTGACATAATTTAAGTTCCTTAACAGCAACCTTGACTCGGGGCTTCAACCTCAGCCACACCATCGAAGCCCTGGATGCTCACGGGCAGGCGCTTCGCAAACTCCTGGAGGAAAGCGCGCTTCTCGTCCCCACTACCCGCTAGCACGGAGATTGCAGCGTTGCCCTGGACGCAGAGAACTCTCTCCTCCTTCTCTTTGCAGAACCCAAAGACGTCACAAAACCCGATGAGGCCTCCCCCTCCACCTTTGGATACTTCGGTTCGGACCCTGGCTTTGCTGGTGATCTCAAGGCCGAAAGCCGTGGCTTTGGCAGCAGTGACATCAGCAATAAAGCTGCACTCAAAGAGCTTGCCATTCCAGGACTGAACCACCAACAGGTTCTCGCGGAAGGTCACCTTGGAAGCCATCTTGCCCAGCTCCGCGTATAAGATGCCCCCAATTGTGAGCAAGAAGAAGAATGCAGAGCCTGCCACATCCATCCAAAAGCCTGAGAAAATGGAGGCTTGAACAAACAGAAGAGGAGGCCCTTTTTGGAAGTCCCTGTAGCCAACAAGGGTTGCAATAGATTGAGGTGAGTATGGCGCCCCCTGTTAACCCTAAACCCTTAACCCTATTACCCTAAACCCCAAGCCCAGGACCCTAAGCCTTCAACCCAAAAGCCTAAACCCAAAGGCCTAAACCCAAAAAACCTAAACCCAAAGGCCTAAACCCAAAGGCCTAAACCCAAAAGCCCAAAACCCTAATCCCAAAACCTTCATCCCGAGAGCCTGAGCAGATCTCGTCGAAGTCTTCTTGGAGCATGGTACCTGGCTTGCTGTCGAAGCACCGCAACCTAGGTAGCTGCTGCAGAACTTACATTCACACAGGGGTATTCAGGGGCTATACTTGGATTATATAGGGGTTTTGCAGTGGTGAGATAGGAATCAGGGATGGTAAAAGGTCTAGGGCTCAGGGGTTACGATAATGGATGATCATACGGAAAGAAACTGGAACATGAAATGGAGACTAGGACTATATAACAGCTATAAAAAGGCTCATAAAGAGACTACATTAAGCTATCTAGTATAGCCATATTGAATACGCTATTTCCCGACTATGGTAATTTGATGTAAGTTGCTTAACAGCAACACAGCAACTCTATAGAGAGCACCAGGGCGTTGATCATCTTTGCGTTGCAAGCAACGTCCCCGTCCGTCTTCCAGAGTTCCTATGTGAGCTGTAGTCTAAACTCCTAGGATCCCCTCAATGAGCCGTATAATACTCCCCTATATCATCCCCTATGTGACCCTCTCTAAGGAGTTTAGACTATAATTCATCTGAAGTTGGAGGGCTTCGTGCTTAGGAACCCTTCATCCCTTTATGCGCTCGTTATATATCCAGTTTATACCCTGTAGAACCATGTGAAACCCTACAAATCCAATTAAGGGCCCAGAGTAAAGACTCAGGAAACAAGTAGGAGCCCATACTAGGGGCCCATCATTAGGACCTTAGATCCTGGCCGCACTTCTGCATCATCATGTTTATGACCGACCACAGGAAAGCGATACCAGCGCTGACGATGTAGGCAAAGAATATCCCCACGCCAATGGTGATCCTGGGTTGCTGTTGAGCACCAAGATGTGCATATGTGTATACATATATGTATGTCTATAATCCCATATATCTGTATATATTCGAGCACGTGGTTTCCTCAGTATGGTAGCTTACTTCACGTTCCTTAAACTAACTCCCCACAGAACCTCAGCTCTCATTCCATGTTCCACTTGTCCATTTCATCTTCTACCCGTGGTCCGATCCCTGTATAACGCTTATGTAATCCCTGATTATGCCCAGTAATCCGGGTTTTTGCATAATCCCTATAAAGCATTCCTCTACAACCCTTATCATCGCGAGAAATCTGTATTCTCCATAATACTTATACCGTCCCTATGTCAAACCCTACGCCCCAAACTCTTCAGACTCCAGTCCCCAAACCCTAGCCCCTAAATCCCATCCCCTTGTGCCCTACACTTGCAGGTATATAGTCCTCATGCTTTGGGTGCTGCCCCGGCCCTTTAACAGTCTACAATAGGGGTCACATTAAGGGAAATGAAATATTTAACTAGAATATATCTTACAGAGCGGGGGCCGTAAGCAAAACATCCAAAACCCTAAACCATGACCCTCATCCCTATATGGCCTAGGCTCAGGAGGTTGATGTAAAAGTCTGAGCCGGTTGGCACCTTACTGGTGCTTGAGGCCACCCCCCCTCCCTCTCGCTAAACCCTAAATCCGAAAGTATACCCTTAACCCTGAACCCTAAACTACACCCTAAACTCTAAATCCTAAAGTATACCCTTAACCCTAAACCCTAAACTAGACCCTAAACTCTAAATCCTAAACCCTAAACGTAAGGCACAGTAAATGTCTGGGCGTAGCTAGGAGGATCCTTTAGAACCACAGCCATGACGTCAAGGAGGCTCTTGGTCTCCTGGGGGGAACAACACAACAAGAATTATAGTCCCCCTTAAGTAGATAGAATATGGCCTCCGGTATACTATAACAAGGATCCCCATATACCCCATATTCTACCTACTTAAGGGGGACTATAATCATACATGTTTAAATATTAATCCTAACCCATAAGCCTTAACCCAAGTAAAGATATGGGGTTTCTACCAGAGCGTTTGGATTAAGGCTTCTGAAGCTGAAAGAAGGGGCCGCAGTTTTTGGAAGTCCATATTATCAGGATTACATGCAGGCCCCCCGTCATTTCCCTAAACCCTAAACCCTTATGGAACCCCGCCTGAGTCTCGGCAAGGTGAGCCAGAATGGCGCTGTCGACATCGACCGGCTCATCTTCCGCGTCTGCGCCCTGCTTCTCCTTCCCCCATGGGCTATTAGACCTTAAAATTCCCTATTAGGACCCTATTAAGGGTAGATTAAGGTACCCTAAAGGTCTAATAGCCCATAGTGGTTCCCCTTACCCTCCTCAGCCGGCTCTTGAGGCTCTTTCCTCTGCTCCATGGGGGCCACCCTGGCTCCCAAGCCCACGCACTAAGCCCCGAAAAGTTTGAGCCGGTCGAGAGGACCTCGCTGCTTCATCTGCAAGAGCTTGGGCTTAGTGTCCCCCTTAAGTAGATAGAATATGGCTTTGGGCCTTGGGTATATTGTAATATGATCCCCATATACCCCATATTCTATCTAATTCAGGGGGACTATAACTTCGGATTCGGGTGAGAAACCATAAACAGGGAGCCCAGCTCCTGTCACCAAATCTCCCCAAAAAATCTCGCCCATAAATGCGGGGGGGGACCCGATGTACTATAGCCTTTAGCATAGAGATTCTCAAAAAGGGGCCCCTACGTTTTCGAAACCCCCAAGTCAAACTACGTCGGTCTATTTGTGAGAAGGACCAGGTCGGCCGTGGATCCATAAACCCGTGATCTACAACACCCGAATTTCCACACCTCAGATCCCTGTTCTATACCTAGGGAGGGGGGGGGTCCTAGTTAGGGGTCATGCAGCCCCTGTACCATAGACCATGATCCCTGAATCCTCATCCATAGCCCTCAATAGACATAGGCTTTCGGGAAACCCTAAACCCTGAATCCTAAACCGCGTGAACAAACATGATGCCATGCCTGGCAGTGAGGCGAGAGGTTGTCCGCTTCTCCCCCGAGGCATTGGTGCTTTTCCTTTCAGAAAGCTTACTAGGGGTTGGTAGGGAATAAGTGAACATATATAATACATGCGTTATTTAGGGATTACATTCCCTTATTCCCTACCAAGCACCAGTGAGAAAGGGCGCACAGGGTTGGCAACACAGGTCCGCAGCAGCAGAAGCTCACTAGGAACGGGGTAATGCCAGTAGAAGAAAAAAGCAGCGGGACATGATGGGTATCCTCCTCATTCTCATTTAAGGGAGTTGTAGGGTTCAAGGTTAGCAGCTCAACTTTGCACAGCCCTCAATTCTAAACCCCAGAACCCCGCGCCCTAAAACTCAGTGTCCCCGTTGGCCTCGTCCCACCTCCAGATATCTGGGATGCAGTCCTGCAATGCAGTTGACAAGGCCAGGCCATTCAAAATCATGGCAATAGCTATAGTAGAAATAGAAGTAGCCGCATTCATTCGTAGCAGTGGCAGTAGCACTTGCGAAGAGCAGTAGCCAAAGAGGTGGTCATCATAGTAGACATGGTGATAGTACTAGTACTGGCACTTGTAGTAGTATCAGTACTAGTGCTAGAGCATTGCCGTGGTGTTGACCGTGGTGGTAGTAGTAACAGTGGCAACGGTAACAATCACTAATTATTAATAGTAACAGCAGTATCAATAGAACTGGCACGAATGCTCGGCAGCTTGCGCGACTACTCATAGACATAGTGAAGGGGAACAGACCCCAAAGTGCAAATGCAAGGTAGCAGGCAAAGTTCTGGTAGCAACACCCTCAGCTGCTCGACCCTGAGCCCTCCTGAAGCTGGTGCAAGGTGCCAAAGATCGTACCAAGAAGTTTATGTTCAGTGCATGGTACCATGCCCGAAGAAACCATTTAGAACAGTGATCACTGCCATTGGGTGCTAAGTATGCAGTCAGGAATGGCCGACAAAGTATTCCTGCATTTCCTACTAAGCACTAGCGAGTTTGAGTAAGTAAAGGAGTAAAGGGCAGGGTGATCGTTCATGCCTGGCCACGCGGGTTAAGCCGCTTTGAATCAGGTAAGGGCTTCTATCACATCAGGGTGCCGGCAATGTAGGGACCTGAATAGGGTTTGGGTTATACTGTACAAGTTTTGCATAGAAAGGACTATCAGGGCATATCCCTGAACCCTGAAACCTAAACCTACATCCTAAACTCTCTGAACACGAAATCCTAAATCCTGAACCCTGCACTCCAAACCCTATTTCCTTAACCAGAAACCTCTGAACCCTCCGTCCTCCTCTCCGCCGAAAGAGCGGACGTGGCGCGAGAGTTGGACCCAGACCTGGCGCTAATCAGTGAGCCACCCCTCCCTTTGGGACAAGGTTAAGGTTTAGGGTTTGGGGTTTAAGGGTTTACTGGCTTAGGATTTCGGGTTTAGGGGATTGTTTTAGTTTATTGTCACGCAAGGAGGTATAGGCATTGGGGTTGAGGGTCGTTTCAACCCACTGGGACTTTTTCGTCTGCACGAATGCAAGAGGCACTGCCATCACGCGGGTTTACTCCGCGCTATCTCTGAGGTCCGAGCAAACGAGCGCTACACAGCAGAAGGCACATCATCAGAACTGTGGCCCACCCGGCTTCAAGACTGCCGAGCAACGTCCCCATGAGGGTTTAGGGATTTGGGTTCAGGAATGAGGGTTAGGGTTGTTTGGTCGTGACCCAACTTAAAGAATTTTTTTGAGGGGCTCTAATAACTTCCTTTTTCCCACTGTGGTAACGATTAGTATGAGGAAGGGCTGTCCTGAAGGTCATTTTAAAAAGCGGGACCATTGGGAATGCATTTCCTTAAAAAGGAGGTCGTGAACAAAAAGTGAACCTACCTAACGACCCTTTTGGGGACAGGTCTTACGAAGAACAACTACAGCATGAACCCCAACTGGTTTACGGCCCATGCAGCACAACAGAAGGTCTGGCAAAGTCGGGTTCATTCGGTCCTCCCCCTTGCAGTAACAGTTAGCACAAGAAATACTAATAGTTTTCATAACCACTAAGTAAAACCCCCTTTAAGGACAGTTACAAGGGTTCATGATGTCATCTGGGGCCTCGTTTGGGGGTTTCCCAAAAAATTAGGGGTACCTTTTGGGGGTCGCCATCATAAGGATTAGGTCTATATTGGGGTCCCGGATTTTTTGGAAATCACCATTCAATACCCCGGGACGCCCGGACCCCCCCTCGCAAGCTCTGCCACTTGAAGGCAGAAGCATGGGAGAACGCCTAGAAGCAGAGACGCACAGTATATGTTCACTACAAGGGTCTAGTCTAGGCTTTAGACTCAAAACTTTAGAGTAGGGGTACCCTTTCGGGGGTCACTATAGCATTTTGGGTTCCATATTGGAATCCCCTATTTGAGGAAACTACTATAAGCCCCCAGAACAAACACGTTGTCAGTTTCTAGGTCGTTTTCCAGTTTCTTTCGCATTTCATTTCCCTTGTAGTAGTCTCAATTTTCTTTACCAATATCCCCATATAAGCCCATATAGCCCTTTAGCTAATCCCTACAGTGTCCCTGCACATAGTAGTTTCCATTTCGTGCTCCATGTTCTTTTCAGCTTGCTTTTCCATTAGAATCCCTATAGTATCCCTATATGTAGTAGTCCAGTGCGTGTTCCATTTCATTTTCCCATATTATCCCATATGACCCCTATATATACATATATATATATGTGTAGTAGTTTCCATTTCATGTTACGTTGGATTTATATCCTAAACCCTAAACCCCACTATCCCAGGAGGCCTGGAGGCAGAGCCACTTCGACTGCTCTTGGTGCCAGATCGTAACATGGCGGCGGATGTCTTCAGCCGGGTCATCCCGGCGATCCTCAACAGGTTTACTGAGAGGGTGCCTCAGCATGCCGCAGGTCTTGCCCCCACTCTGCAACAGTCTATATTATGTTTCAGGGGTTATATATATATATATACGTACATACATGTATACCTATATATATATACAGGTATACATACATACATATCTATATATATATATGAATATATAACTCTAGTATAGATATTCTCCAGCTGTTACAGAGTGGGGGCAGTACCCAAGGTAGCCCTTCCCTGCCTAGGACCCTCTCGCTTGTAGAGCGGGAAGGTGTGAGGGTTACCTCTGCCAACGATCTTCTGCAACTCCTCGGGAAGCTTCTGCAAGAAGCATGTGACCTACTGTCTAAACTCCTAGTATCCTCCTTAATCACTGAGATAGTAGTCCCCATCAAATCCCTATATAACCCCCGTTAAGGAGTCTATACTATAGCTCATGTGGCATTGCCTGAAAAAAAAGGCTATGGTCAGGGTCAGATTTGCCCAAGCAACGCAACACAACCAGTGGCAAGGGACCCCTCGCTTTTGAAGCCCCTCAATTCCGGGCCTCAAAGGTGGTGATGCACTCACCAATGTATCGATCTGTACCTAGGCGGAACCAATCATGGACCTTGGTTGGCAGAGGCATGGCTGCTTTGTAAACGCAGAACTTCGGGGGATGGGATACATACTGTTTATGACCAGTAATATTTACAGGAATACTAACTGTAGCAACAAAAACAAAGTAACAACAACAACTAGAGCAATTGTAGTAATAAGACTGATAAGAGAGCCGAGGCCGAAGCTGTGATAATCACATCTTGGTAGATGTCGCAAGCGCTGGTCTGTGCCACAGTATAGCTGCTCTCCTGGTACAGTAGCCGGCAGCCAGAGGTAAATGATGACAAGCTTATGTGAGCGATAATCTAAACTCCTATACTATCCCTCTTACTAACTCCTATAAAAGTCCCCTATATCATCCCCTATATAACCACTGGAGGTGTTTAGACGATAGCTCATGTAGCTTCAACTACAACTACTACAACGGTCGAGACAATGAGTGCGCCAGACCGTCCTCAAAGGTGGGCTCCCCGGTCTTTCTCGCCACTTCGCTACGAAACACTGGGGCGAGGAACAGCTCGCCAGTGTCGTACACGCCCTGTCAACCATGGCCCCAGAATTACAGAGAAGAGACTGCACACCTGGAAACTTGCTACATCTGAAGCAGGACCAAACGCCGCAGAATCAAGAACACACGTCAATGAAACTGAGCCTCAATGCGGTTCATCATGAAATACGGATCGCACTTCCTCTTCCAAAAGTCAGTGGACTTCAAGTCGTGCGCGGCCATTTGAAAAGAAAGTTCCTGAGCTCTGTGCTTATCATATAGAATGTGTAAACCCCTAGTATCCCCCTTGATAACCCATAGTAGTCCCCTATAGAACCCCATTTAAGGAGTTTAGACTATAGCTCACATGGGGTGTGTAAACCCCTACAAAGCCAGTGAAGTGCCCATAGTTCGGACCCAGGAATCAGGTAGTGGCTAAGTACCTTATACCTTTGCACATGCTTTATTCGCATTATTGGTAGCATTGTTATTGTTATCTTTATTCTACATATTTTACACTACTGTCATGCAGGATTTTCAATATCAACAATAGTGCCATGAAATAGCCGGTGAACCTTTATGAATGGTGCGCGGGTGGGTTCTCATCGAGGGGAAGGAGCAACACAAACTAGATTGGACCAAGCGCAAGCACATGGAAATGGATCTGTACATCAGTCATGAAAGGTGACATCCGGGCAGAATAACGACCACTATGAATTGGAGATTGATCTGACGCACCCCATACCATAATTCGCGGCGGCCCTGCCAAAAGGCCTTCAACGCCCCTCCTCTGGACACGTCCTCCCTCCTTTTTGATTTATTTCGGGCTTGGCCCTGATTTTGGCTACAGGCTTAGAAATCTGAGCTTAGGGTACCCCCCCTCCCACAACCCCTCGAGCCTCGACATCCCTCAAGGCCTACACCTTGGATATCCCTTGCCATGCTCCTATGGACCCCTACACCCTAGAGTAAACGTCCGTATACCTCTACGCTATTTCCATCCCTTGTCTATACTCCTATACACTTATATGAATATCCCCTGCCCATACTCGCTGGGCACCTCTCCAAAAAACACTAAAACTACATACCGCTTGTCCACATGAGACTGCAAAAACCTTGGGTCTCAGTTGCCCATACTCCCTAGCCACGCCTCTAAACTGGGTTGCTGCTAAGGAACTTAAACTAACTTACCATAATGGGTATATGCAATAAACAATATGCTTTCCCCGAAATATTAACTTAAGGTATATTCCTTAGCAGCAAACCAGTAGACTTTAAATGCCAGGCCCATCCCTATGCACGAAAGGGACCACCAGACCCCATGCTGGCCCACGCTCCCCACCCACCCACTGACCCGCGGCCCCCCCACCCGTACATATACATATATATATGTGTGTGTGTGTATATGTGCACGTATATACATATATATATATATATGAATACATATGTGGGCCAAATGTGTGTGTGTGTGTATACATATTTGGCCGACCATCTACTTCCTCCGCGCCGCGCATAGAGCCGGGCCGGGGCGGGCGGCGCCATACGGTGAGACCACACTATATCACAATGCTGCTAATTAGTTAGGCTTCTGCATTACTGGGCTTCACCGTTCCGCCCTTTCACACTTTCATGGTTGTTCTGGTGGATGGAAGAAACCTTGCACCACTTAGCACCACCAAAGTAATCCTGAAATTGCACTGACTAAACCTTCACAGGGCGGTGTAAGATTTCCGTCCACGGTAGTAGTGAGTGAAGGGATAGAAAAAATCAAGGTGCATTTCCTAGGGTTTAGGTAGATCGCAGTCTCCATAAATAGAGGGTGAAGGTAATATCCTCGTAGAATCCCGAGGTAACCCCTAGAAAGCTCCTGAACCCTAAACCCCTAAGCCCCTAAACATTTGTCTATCAACCGTACTGACTTGTGGGGTTGAAGCCTTAATTGCCCCAGCCTGGTGTTAGGGTTATGGGTCCGTCTATGACCAAGGTGCTAGGGTTTGGAGGGGGGGGGCTATACGGGACTCCTGGGTTTCGGCTTTAGGCTTCAGGGTCCTGCTTTGGAAGAGCATACCGACCTGAGCACTTTGCAATCCAACATGGTATGTCTTAATGCAACCACGGAACGACTTTTGCATTCACAGATTCCTCTGCGTATGCGAACAGCTTGCCAAGGGGTGGATCGCGCGGCTTCCTTCCGAACAGTCAGATGAATGTCAGAGTGGCTGAGCTGTTCTCATGAAATTGAAGCGCCGCCCAATATAGACCCCCCAAAATACTACAATAGTACCCCTTGCTTTAACAGCATAACATAGCAGAAGGGCTCGCACCATGTAGAGAGCAGTCACCACTGACTCACCACAATAACATTTCATGTCAAGAAAACCTTCATAACATGCCCGAAACAGGGCTACGTTTCATCACAAGCGTATCGAGGAACCAGGGCCAAAAAACGGAGCCACCGGCACAGGTCCCCGTGCCGCGTGCATACGCGCGGCATGCGCGGAGGTCATTGGCTGAAAGGACACAAGGGCTCTCACCAGCTGAAAGAGCAAATATCGAGATCCTAAATTCTAGTTTCCATTTGATTTTCCAGTATCCTAATATAACCCCAATATATACTTTATATAGCCCCAATATAACCCATTATAGTAGTTTCCATTTGGTTTTCCATATCCCTATATTAACCCAATATTGCAGGTGTATATAGCCCCAATATAACCCCAATATCTGGGTCTGGAGGGATTTTTCCTCAAAGGTTTACCGCTCAGGTCGAATTTCCCCCGGCAACGGCGAGCCAAGGTCTCTCACTGCTCCCATTTGGTAGTTTTCCAAAACTAGGGGTACCTTTTTGGGGGTCCCCATAATAAGGATTATAATATTTTGGTGTCTATATTAGGGTCCCCTTATTTGGGAAACTACCATTTTTCAGCTTCAAGAGATGACCTGGGAGCAAGCGTTAATGACAGAACACTATCACACGTGGCTATCTCTGTTAGTCTGTTAGTGGCAACCCCACTATAATCTTCATCTAAACCCCCGAAACACTCCGAAACAGACCGGATGACCCATTTCATCATTTGCTGTTAACAAGAAGCCACATGTGTGGCTCTCCTTCGAACATTCTCCAGCTTCTTCTTGAGCCACCCATGGTGCTTTGGGTTGGATCTTGCGTACACCGCCTCTGCTAAGTTAAACTCCGCAGAGCCAACGAACTTCTGCTCCATCAAGTCCTCTTGCATGGTCTGATTTCCTGGGCTTTATGAGCTGCTGTCTAAATGCCTCAAAGGGGGTTATATAGGGAAGTATGATAGGGGTCATTATTGGGGCTACTACAGTGTGCGCATGGCATCATAGAGCAAAATGTGCAGTAATGCCCCACATAGAAGGGGGTTTTGGTCAATCCGAGCCCCAAGAATGAGGACTCTTTGACTATCACCTGACTCTTCCAGGGTCCTTATTACAGGGGTGAAGGGGTTAGGGCTACCAAGCGACTCCTACTATACTATACTATACTATACTATACTATACTATACCATACTATACTATACTACATCATATTATATTATTGTACTTTATTATATTAATACATTACACCTCATGCCACGATGCGGATGATGTATATCTCCACCCTGATCAGCCGGACGTGCTCCTCGGGGTAAGAGATGGGCTTTCTCAAAATGGGGAGCCCTAATCAAAGCCCACTAACATACAGGCAGTATAAGAGGATTGCGCGGGAGCCTTTTCTGGGACAAGGGACTATGTGCGGAATTTGGGGGGGGCAAAACCCATGTCAGGAAGTTGCTTCACAACAGGCATGTGCTGCTAAATCGGGATTTCTCATAACGGGCCCCTACGGACCCCACGAGGAGAAGTGAATTCTGGGGATTCCCTCCATGAGTTTCGAGAACTGGCACATCCAAAGCCTTTACATCGAGTTGCTATCCGGAACTGCAGCTCGAACATCTTCTCCCAGACTGGCCATCGTGTATCCTGCCCACAAATCTCTGTCGTACCGTACCTTGCAGGCATTGCGGTTGATAGGGAGAATCCTGTATGAGTCCAAGGACCCTACAGCATGCAAAGCATCCTACTGTTACAAAGGATGATGAAGGATTTTGTACATCAACCGTGTGTGGGGGCCTGGTGTGTGATCAAGGCACTCCTGGGCCTCTGATCTCTACAAGTTTGCATGCAAGTCCTAGAAGGAAGCGGCTCTGAGCCCTATAACCCCCATGAGACAATGGATAGGGTTTAGGGTTTATCTTCGGACCTTTTCTCCAAGGCTAAGGGTTTAGGGTTTGGGTTTTAAGGTATTGCAAGCCGCTAAAGTCAGGGCACTCTGTCCAAAGATCATCGGTGCCTAGCTTGGAGTACACCACTGCGACTGTGTTTCCTGAGCAGGCAAGACACTACACGTGTAGTGCAGGTTCATTGCTAGTGACATCAGTCACATCCATACCAAGACTGCTAACGCTAGAAACACAGATGGTCGGACTTGAACCTCAATAGATACGGCTAGCTGCGATCACCGAGACCAGCAAGATTATGATAGCTCATGCGCTTCGTCGATCGCGAAATCTTAAAACCATCGCAGCAATCAGGCCAATGTCGCTTAAATCAGGAGAGATTCTTCCTTTGCGGAGGCCCTCGCATCGCAAGCCTTAGTTGTGGCTGGGAAGAGGGGCAAGCCGGTGTATATGAATGCCATGTTTAGGACTAGGCGATATGACACATGCTAAAGAGGTTGGTGCTATCTACATATAAGCAGAATATACTCGTGCATGATCACGCATGTATGTGGTTTCTCACGTTCGCCTAGCTAGCACCGCGACGTGCAACTCGCTTCACTCATCTGCTTGAATCGTGCCTGCTGCAGCATTGTCTGAACTGCTACTGATAATGATAATACTGATAATACTGCTCCTCCCGCACTGACAGCAACACCGCCGCCGCCTCCGCCCGCGCCACCGCCGCCGCCAACACCGCCACGACCACGACCACGACC